TTTTCAAGATACCAATGGTATATTTCTCAGAACTAGAACAAATATTCCAAAAATTTATGTGGAATCACAAAAGCTCCCAAATAGTCACAGCAATCTTGAGAAAGAAGAATAAAGTAGAAGGAATAACACTACCTGATATCAAACTATACTACTGGCCATAGTAATTAAAACAGCATGGAACTGGCATAAAAACAGATATATAAATCAATAGAACAGAATAGAGAGCTTAGAAATAAACCCATGATTTTATGGTCAATTAATATTTGACAAAGGAGGCAAAAACATACAATAAGTTAAATATAGTCTATTCAATAAACGGTGTTGGAAAAATTGGACAAATACATGCCAAAACAAAAACAAAAAAACAAAACTAGACCACCTTCTTACACCATACACAAGAATAAACTAACAATGGATAAAAGACTTAAATGTTAGGCTCGAAACCATAAAAATCCTCCTCAAAAACATAGACAGTAAAATCCTGGACAGTTCTCAGAGCAATATCTTTTTTTCTGATATATTGCTCCAGGCAAGGAAAACAAAAGAAAAAATGAATGGGACTACATCAAACTAAAAAGTTTTTGCACAGAAAAGGAAAACAATAACAAAATGAAAAGACAACTCACTGAATAGGAGAACATATTTGTCAATGATACATCTGATAAGGTGTTAATATCCAAAATTTATAAAGAATGTATAAAACGGAGCACCTAAAAAACAAACAATACCATTAAAAATGGGCAAAGAACCTGATAGACGCTTGTTCAAAGAAGAAATACAGATGGCCAATAGATGTATGAAAAAATACTCAACATCACTAATTATCACAGATATGCAAATAAAAACTACAATGAAATATCACCTCACACCTATTGGAATGGCTATCATCAATAAATCAACAAACAGTAAGTGCTGGTGAGGATGTGGAGAAAAAGGAACCCTCATGCACTAATGGTGGAAATGTGGATTGGTGCAGCCAATGTGGCAAACATTATGGAGGTTCCTCAAAAATTAAAAATGGAACTGTTTTATGACCCAACAATCTCTCTTCTGGGAATATATCTGAAGAAACCAGAAACACTGATTCAAAAGAATATATGCACACCTATGTTCACTGCAGTTTATTTACAATAGCCAAGATATGGAAGCAACCCAAGAGCCCATCAGTAGATGAGTAGATAAAAAAACTGTGGTACATTTACACAATGGGATACCACTCAGCCATTAAAAAGGAGGAAATCTTACCTTTGCCTCCTTATCTTTACCTTATCTTAACAGCATGGATGGACCTGGGGAGTATTGTGCTAAGTGAAATAAGCCCATCAAAGAAAGACAAGCATCATATAATTTCACTTATGTTTGGAATCTAATGAACAAAATAAACTAACAAAGAAAATAGAAACATACTCATAGATACAGGGATCAGACTCACAATTTTCAGAGGGGAGGGAGGTTGTGGCCTGGGTGAAAGGGTGAAGGGATGCAACAAGGAAAAAGGATCTAATGGACACAGACAACAGTACGGTGATTACCAGAGGGGAAGGAGGGTGGGAAGAGGTTAAAGAGGGTATAAGGGGGATAAATGGTGATGGAAGGAGACTTGACTTTGAGTGAACACACAATACCTGTACATATGATGTATTATACACCTGAAAACTATATAATTTTATTAACCAATGACATCTCACTAAATTCAATAAAAATGTTACAAAAGAGCAGAGTTCTCATGAACCAGGCAGCAATGGAAAAATAACATCATTCCACTTGACCCTCAGAAGTGCGAGTCCCTGAGAATCACACTCATTACTACACTACCAGGGGCTGGATCGCAACAGCTTTGTTTGGCAGGTGGTAGGGACTGTGCCTTGCCACAGGGGCAGAGCTGCCTAAGCAGTGCAAGCGAGAGGTTGGTGTTGGCACCTAAATGTGGCACCTTAGAATTTCTGGACACTGGGCTCAGGCTGTGTCACAGCTGATAGTGTTCACAGACACTCTGCCAGGAACTACAAAGTATGGGGCAGGAATGGAAGATTCTTATCCAGCTTCTGAGTCCTTTTTTCTAGTAACTGCATACACTGAGACTGACTTCCAATATATATTTAATGGCATCAGCACATTCTGGAGAAAGTATAAAGCAGCAGTTAAATAGCTCAACTAGAAAAATTACTTTTATTCTTAAAGTACACCCAGGCCAAAACCTTTACCTACATGTAGGAAGAAGTCAGAGTGGTTTGTACTGTTTTAACTTCATGTATTATATCTCATTTATGTCTTATTCATCCTGCTTAAGAATAAAATATTTGAGGGTAGGGCTTTCTCAGATTTCCTTATACTCAAAAAGAATGTTTTATTGAATGTTTATTCAAAGTTCCTTCACCCATTAATTCACATTTTCATAATAACCTTGTGAAGAGTTATTAGTCCTATTTGAAATTGAGGACACTGAGACACACAGAGGTGAGTGAGTTAGCCGGGGTCAAACCAAAGGCAAGGATATTATCCCTTTTCATGATGATGATGAGGCTTAAAGAGGGCCAGTAAGGCCCTCCATAGCTAGAAGGAGGCAGAAGTAGGACTGACTCCTGGCTGGCACTGCACCCTCCCTCCATTGTGCCATGCTTTGCAGATGAATATGCTACAGTGAAGAAAAGATAGATGTGTTGATTTTCAGCAGGGTTTTATATCAGAAAAGTAAAAAAGAGGGTGTCTTTTGAGGCTGGGTAAAGAGGCCATGCTATTCATAGTGGGCATGCGTGGCTATGACTGTTTCTCATAGTAATAATAATAATAATAATAATAATAATGCATTGGCTTTCCACAGAAGTGACACTGAGCATCTCAGGATCACTGGCCCTTATCACAGAGGCTCCTTCATTGAAGGCTTCCAGGTACCTTTGCTCTGTTTTCCAGGTGCTTCACCCTACATCATATCTCCTGGTTTCATTTGGTACTACTGGCAAACTCATATCAATCATTTTAAACCACATAGGATATATGACAACCGGTGTGGAAGCCACTTATGCTCAATTACAAATTCTTTTTTTTTTTTTGTTAACTTGTCCATTTTTACTTCTGGGGTTTATCTGGAGAGAGAGTTGAAAAGAACACACTATGTGGGAGGTGAGACATCATGGTCACTTGGGAGGCCTGTCTGGAGTTGCTGGCTGTGATTTACTGAAAAGAAAATGAAATTCATCTCTGTCATCCATCTTGCTGAAATGTCAGGCTGTGCGCAACTCTAGCAGTAGGAGGGCCGATGAAGATCCTTGCAAACCACCTGCCAGCCCTTTCCGTCCCTGATCTAAAAGCCATGTGTATGCCGCACAGAAATAAAACTCATGGTCAAGGGGCCAACAAGGAATTTCCTTGTGACATAGAAATACACAACTACAGGTAATTGACTCTTAATTTTGGCACAGAAACTCTTCTCAGTCATGATGCCACAAATGGGGTCCAAAAGTTCCCACTGGAAAACACAGCTCATATTACCAATATGTTATATCAATGTCTATCCATATGAAAATTTAATCATGGATTTGCTACATCTCTGTGAAAGATGCACAAAAGGAATAATAATGTAAGTGTTATCATTGACTTTCACTGAACAACCCTGTTTTCCTCTCTTTACTAAAGATTTGACAATCAGCGGAAAATGTACATCCACCTGAAGAACAAAAAACATGCCATTCTTTCTCTAATCAGAACACTGCTCTTTACCATGGCAGCAGACCTCTCTGGTACCTAAAAAATGTGTTTGTAATTTAAATTCTTACAAGGGTGGGAATATAGCCACTTCAGGTATTCAAGATTGACACCAAGTACTAGGCCAGAAAGGAAGATATGGAGTTCAACTTGGTATGTTATTGCTGGTGGTAACATTTTGGCTAAGGAAGAGGCTAAAATCATGGTAAACTGAAACCTGTTCATTTTGCCCTTCATTACACCAAATTGGTCATTGGTTCTTTTTGCTGAAAGCTTTAAGCAAAAAAGCACACAGCAACAGCAGAGTTAGCTTAGGCTTCTGCACTGGGGACGAGGGAAGGCAAAGGGTAGCATGAAAGGCCAGAGTCCCCCATACTTCAAGCGTCAGATGATAAATAAAACCAGAGGCCATGGTGGTACATATCATTTCTGATTTTCTTCTTTAAATTAGCCAGGAATTTTGTTAGTCCACTTTCTTATTTGGAGAGTATTTATATTGCTTTTTACTTCTTCCCACATATAGATACCAAAAGATCCATATGTGAACCTGAAAATGCCCTATTGGTTTTTAATATGCTAACTCATAATATTTAAGTCTGCTGGGTAAAAGTTCATTTTCTCCCCCAAACATGACTCAGCTGCCTCACTGTGGATCACCAATACCCTCACTCGACCCCAGTCTTCCCTGAGCCTCGATTCCTGGTCACAGGCGGGGAGTTCAATGACACCATGGCTAATAACAGACTCTGCATCAGGATGGCCCCAGAGCCTCTGGACACTTAGTTGATGAGAGGAAACTAGCCCTGTCTGCATTTCCAGGAACAACCCAGGGAGCAAGGAGGTCTCTCCCATCCCCATGCAGCCCTTGAAAAGCTGTGAGCAGGCACTGAGGAGACGCCTGGGGCCTAGCCTGTCCCACCAACAGCCAGCCCTGTCTCTCTACGACCTTAAATAGAAATGTCAGAATCTGGCCATCTCTTCTGTGCAGTGCAAATGATCACATGCTCCATTTTCTTTAAAGATGTCACCTTCAAAATGTTCATTTATATCCTTTTCTTTCTTTTTAACACAATTTTCCCTTTTGGAATCAGGTTAGTAAATCATTCTTTCCAAACTAATTCCTTTCATACATAACTGTAAACTTTTGTCTCCCAAACATGTTGCCAGATATTTTATAACTTCATGAAAATCAAATCCCTAACCCAAATTAACACACATGCACACACACAAATAACCATCACTATGACTGTCCTCACCCAAACAAAGAGCCCTTCAACATTCACAGAATGTGGCCTCACCTTTCCGAAGAAGTGCTGAGTGGACACCGCAAGCGCCTGGAAGCCACGAATGGCCCGTCTCAGCTCCGCCTGCATGAGGCCCAGGTGCCTGGTCTGCTGCTCACTCCTCTCCTTGAGCCGCTGAACCAGCTGCCGTTCGGCCTCACGGGCCTGCAGGTCCGGCTTGGGGGAAAACCCATTCCGGGGAGCTGTGCTCCTCTGCTTGGGGTATCCTATTTAAAAAAACAAACAAACAAACAAAACAAAACCAGTCACTTGTGAAAAAACACTTAGCCCAAATGGGATAACAGCTCCTTATTATAGAATTTCATCAAGAGCATGCAGCCCAAAAGGAATTGCCATGGTTTGTCACTGCAGGTATTAGAAAGAAAAAAGAGGTGGGGACTTAAAATATTTGCTCTGGTTATGTGGTTCTAAGTGCAGGTTTTCATTCTTGGAAAACAAATAACAAGCCAAATTGCCAAATTCTTTCCATCTTTCCATTTCTTCAAGGTCTGCTTAGAGAAATTGGAGCAGATGTTTTATCTTCAAGGGAATTACCCCTTAAAAATGTCTAATGCCAAATAAATCATTCAGTTCAAGTCAAAGTCATAGTTGTAACCTAGCAACCTTTTAATTGGGCATCAGGGAGAACTGCCCACATACCCTTCCCTCCCATTCTGTGGTCCTTCTAGTTACACTTTCTTCAATGTCAGGTTCAAGCCACACCTCTGATGACCTCTGCTCCAGGATTTTCTGGCTTTAAATTTCTACAGCATCAACATCTTCCAAAATCTTTCCCCATATGACCACTCACATCACCTCCATAGCTCAAGGTCCAGTCCAAGCCACCATGACCTCTCACCTTCTCATGGGAAGTCCTGCTTCTCATCTTTCACTGCACAGCAGCCAGAATGATCTATATAAATATAAAATGGCTCATGACCTGTGTGGACTGCCCCCTCTTCCACTGCAGTGAGAAGAAAAGGCTCATTCCTTCCCCTGGCCATTAAGTCTCTGAGGTCTGGTACCTGCCTGGCAAATGTCAGGAGTGTGTGTTACTGGGGCAAGGGGTAAGGCAGGACACAGGGGAAGGAATCAGAAACTCCACCTGAGTTTGGGGGAAGGGCAGGAGAGGCTCTAAGGAGAAGTGAAGGTACAAAGGCAAGGCCCTGGGAAGAGCACTCTGTCATGGTCCAAGACTCATGGGTAAGCAAGGCTCTTCCTTGGAGCTGCTGTCCTTCTCGTGGGATCTCAGGCAGACCTGACACCCAGAGAACCTCTGTGGAGCACAATGGACTTATATTCCAGAAGCATGTTCTTTCCTTTGCCCAAGAAGTTCCTGGAGGACATGACATAGACACTGACCACACAGTTATGAATAAACTTTAATATTTCAAACACTCTTAAGTCTCTGCCTGTCTACCTACAAAATACCAGGGAGTAACATATAAACAAATCAGAAAATGTAGCCTCTTCAATATCTCATATACACCAGAGAAGAGTAATGGGCTTGGAACACACAAGTGGCTTCATCTTCTAAGGGGAAAAGATGGTTAATTGCTCTAACTACTTCTGGTTGTTAACTTAATAGTAATCATGAAAATTTAATTAAATCTCCTTCTTGTTAAGAAATCAGAGATTGCAATGTGACCTCATATAGTACATATCTTAAAATATATGGCTTTTTAATAAGTAGAACATGAACTTATTGCTTCTTTAAAACTGTCTTTATGACAGTACCTAATATTCCAGAAAATTCACTTGTACATTGTAGGCAAATCAATATTAGTATGCACTTAATCCCAACATTCTCAATACTGAACACAAAAGAAAAATAACTACCAACAAAATAGGTGAGATTTACTGCATTCATTAAATTCGAAGACACAGCCTAAGAACTAAGGTGGATTTTTTTCATCATTACTGTTGGCCATTTTATTTCTGTAACTGGTGATTTCATAAGACACTTCAATGTTTTAATTAATATATTGAGGTACCAGGTGCTTGACACTGATACAATAGAAGACACTTCTTTTAGAAATCTGAAGGAAATAATAAACATACTTCCAGCTCAGTGAATTAAAGCCAATTGTAATCTAGAGAATATAAAGTCACATCTGAGTTTGTAGGTATTGTTAAGCACTCATGCTGTTGTGTATTTTTGGCTGTCAGATTTATTCCTTTTGGTCATTGTTATTACTGTCAATGTCATCATCATCATCATCATCAGGTTAGCAATTACAGTCGATGGTAAATAGACAGTATAAAAGGGTTTGATGAAATCCTATTCTTGGTGCTGAAGGGAAGCAAAATCTGCCACCCCTAAAACATGCCTTTGGAAAATAGATAATCTTAAACTGGTTATTAAGGAACAAAAGACCCCAAAAGAGCCTTTGACCCTCCCCTTTTACCTGTCTAAAGGAATTTAGACAGAGGACCTGCTCCAGGAAGGAGCCATTGCCATAGAGAACTGTAGTTTAATCTGAACCAGGTGTGATGGACAGAGAGGGACCCAGCAAGGCCCCTTTGATCAAAGTCCTCTCTGTGTCCCATTGTTAAAATGGCCTAGCAAGCGTTTGTCTACTAAACATTTACTTTCCATCTCCATGTGAATGGTCTTCCTGCTCTTTGAAGTCTCAAACCACAATCCTACCCCTTTTCTCCTTAGCTCAAGATGACATTTAAGTCTCAACTGCCCAATGCCTCTTTGGGTCTCATCTAATGGCATCCTCGAATGCGTATGTAACATAACTGCTTTAATTCACACACTCAATTTCAGCATCCTATTGAATGTCGGTATACTCACTCCACATTTCTGTTCCTGGGGCCAAAAAAATGCACGTTTTTGATAGAGGCTCCCCTGAGAATATCAGCTTTTGGTATCAACACACCAAGCAAAAGTTTAGCTTATTTGTGGTACCAAATTACCTTATGAAGCCAATCCTTGTTTGGGACTCCTGACTGGCTACACAGTGACACCCAACTAATGCCCCAGTGTAGGCTAAAGGTCTGGACCCAGTGCTAAGACTGTAAGAAGGAAATACAGAGAAACAAGGATGGCTGTAGAGTTCTCTACCACTTTTAAATAAAAGAAAAAGGGTCCTGCCATTTTCAAAATATATCAAATAAAACTTTGCCTAGGACTAATAATCACTTTACAGTCATCAGTGTAGTTTTGGTCCTCACTAAAAACAGTATTCTCTCTTGTGCTGTCAATTTTTAAGTACTTCTTTAGCTAACTCCATAAAGTGTTGTTCTGTCACTTGTGCCCAGTGTGAGGCCATCCCCAGGATGGTACACAAGGACAGCAGCTCAGGCTCACCTACCGTCTTGGGGATGGAGAGCTTATGCTGAAAGATGGTTGACACATAGCCACTTTCACCTGTGTCATTAAAATTTAAGGAGGATTTTGTGTGCTTCTGCTGTCTTCTCTTAAGAGCCAACTATAATGAAGCTAAATGACAATCTGCTTAGGAAGTAAGGGGCTAATTGGACCATGACATGAGAAACTGCATGGCAGTGGCCGCATGGAATGCGCGGAGCACCTGTCGGCACTGGATGGGCGTGGTGATGGCGGCTCACTCGAGATTTCTCTGGAAGAGCCATCATGTACACTTTAATGAGAGGCACACCGTGTCCCCAAAGACACTTCCACGTGTTGAAAAGTTTGGTTACCACTTCCCTTCCTGTCCCTTGTGGTGTTTACATTGCTCCTGGGGTGGCTGGCAGTTAGAGCCGGTGGGCATGCCAGCAACCTCTCTCTGCAGTCAGGCAAGGCCTCCTTCCATGTGTTCAGCCTCTTTTCAAAACAATCAAAGCTCTGGCCTCCTCCACTATCCTGATTTCCACCCAGTTGACCTAGGACATTGACATTAATGAATAAAGACCTTCAAAATAGGGCCTGTCGATGATTCTAGAGTCTTTAATTGAAGTGAAAAAAGAGTAGAAATACCAGCTTTTTTTTTCTTTTTTTTACTGTTTGCCCCTTGTAAACCTCCCAGTTGTCGATGAAGCTTATCCCCAGTGAATCTCTTTGATATGAAATATAGGAGCAGAATACTCAGACCAGTGTCTTCCCATGACCCACAGACAGCTGACTTAACATGCATGCTTTATGTTGTGTGCTTTGGAAGGGGCCAAAATACTTGACAGCTTTTACTGAGTACCTCCTCTGCTCCCAGGCCTCAGAGCACTGATGCCCACATAAACCCATTGCTGATCCCCTCTACACCATCTCCAACAGACCTCATGGGTTTGGGGATGCATGCTAAATCTAGAACATCCTCCTGTTATCTCGATCTTGCCCCAATCACAATTTCTCTTTAGCCATCCTGCTGGCTCCAGAATGCTGGTTAGGGGCAGATAGATTTTATGATGACTTCAGTGACAGCTGGCAACTCAGAGGAAAAAGCCAGTAATCTTATAGTCTCACAAGGCTGAATACAAGCCCTGTGTGTACAAAGGCTGAGCACTGGGGAGAAGAACAACCCTAGAAAGTGGAAAGAGAATATTAAAAATTCATATGCAGCCATCTGGCACTATCCAGAGGATTCTAATGGATGTAAAAGCTTAGTTTAATCTTAAAGCTGGAAGCTTAACTGACATGATAACAAACAAAATGCAGCATTGAAACCTGCATATTTACACCAGAGAAGGCTCATGACATTTAACCCTTGCAAACAAGAAAGAAAAGTCTCACAGGACACAGCTCTGAGAGCCTTAGGAAAGCGTTTCATGAGTTGGGCCGGCATCCCAACAGAAAGCCAACCTGCTTCTTGCAGTTTGGCACCAGCAGGACAGCCCCAGGGGCACAAGGGCTGAGTCCGGTGTGGTCTTAGACAGGCTTCATGGTTTTTAAACTGATCTAAATTTGTTTCAGAAAACTGAGTCCAGTAGCACTCTCTTCTCCCACTTAGTATTGACACTGTTTGCCTGGGGCTGGCCAGTGGAGGCGAGGGTAAAGGGATGGTAGGGGTGGGAGATGTCTTTCCAGCCAGTCCTCAGCCTAGGTGAGGGCAGAAATGATCTAATGTACAGTTTTGTTCAGGTACATTCATTAGGACATTTTTTAGTTCATTTCTAATATTTTATTCTTCCCATTTCTCCCATCTCCGTCTCTGCCTCCCTTTCTAATTTCCCCTTTTCTTCCCACTATCTACTTTGTCTTTCTTCCCCTTTTTGCCTACGTTCGCACTGATTGAAAATACTTTTACTCCTCATCCCAACTTTTTCCATTCTGTTTTAGAACTATATACTCTATCTTATTGGTTGTCCTAGAAATTTTAATATATATACTTTAATTCTAAAAGTACACAATACCTTTACTTCTCCGAGAACATAAGGACCTTACGCATAGTGGTTTATTTCCTTGTGTCTGTAATAATTTCACTTTTATTTTCCTAAGTGGACACAAATCCTATAGAATTTTTGAATTGAATTTTCAGACCACAAGGGTAGCAAGGAATCCAGTTTTCAAATTTCAGCAGGGCAGGTATCAGGTAAGGAATTCCTAAGGGAGGGCGATTCCTGTTCTCACCTTTTCAAGAGCCAACACTGCGACCAGTCAGGCTCCTACTGCAGGGGGAGCTTTGTTTCTCTTGCTAATTCGTCCGGGAGGGTGTTGTCTGTCACAAATTCCACATTTACACAGGCTCCTCCATCTGATCTCCCCCACTGTTAGGCACCCAGCTTTGTCATGGCTTTGGTTTATTTCTTTTACATTTTTAGTTAACTAGAAATATTAATGTTTTCTATTCTCCAAGCTTTCTGATTAATAGCAGAGCAATTAATCAGAAAGATTAACAATTAATCAGAAAGAAAAACTAAGGATGCAGTTTTGGGATTCTGAGCATTGGGAGTTCAAAGCAAGACTCTATTGCTTATTTCCTATAGCTTTGGGCAAATTAATGAGCATCTGTGTACCTTGATTTCATCATATGTAAAGGGTAGAACACTGCCTCAGAGGTTACTGTGGGCATGAAATAAACATATCAATCCTGTTAAAAGAGCTTAAGACAGTGTCTGGCATACAGTAAGAACTCAGACATGAGCTGTTGATTTGGTACTATTTTTGTGCTTAACAAAATGCTCTGAGGTTATATTGCATTCTATTCTACAAAGGGATTAATGCCTTACAATATGAATTTCCATAATAAATAATTTTCAACTTTCAAGTGAGATTAGGTAGCTTATTTGTATCTGAATGTAAAGAAATGGCTTCCTCACTGACAAAATAACAAGTACTTGATATACATTGTTGCTCTGTGTTTCTTCCTTTTAGAAAATATTATCTCTTAAGGTTAGAGTTTCAAAGTCTGTTTTTCAATTATAAATTATTTCTACATGCTGTTGGAATAGCAGATACCCCTATACAGAAAGGATACTTAAATGTAGCATGATAATAACATTTTTGGTGAAAATGCTGCCAACAGCTGGTTCATTTCATCTAGAGTCAGAACACAACAGTGTATGCATGTCAGTCCCGAACAATCCTTCATATCACATGTCCTGGCATTGCTCCATTAATAACACCAGAACAAATATACTCCAAGTTCAAGTCTTCTCCCCAAATAAGACAGGTCATATTTCCCAAATACCTGGTGAGTGAAGCTTGGTGGTTGAAGCTGCCACTCTCTTCGGGGATGAAACAGCAGGCTTATTAGAATCTTGATCTTTTTGTAGTTCTTTCTTTGTTCCTATACATAGTTTAAAAAGAGAAACCAAAAGAAAGCAAACTAGTTACAATTGGAAGAGTAACACAGGCTGTTTGTGGAAAGGGAGGTTTAACAAAAGGCAAACAGAACAAAGTCATGTCTGGATGATTTGTTGCTATGGTCACCACCCTTTGCACTTGAGGAATGACACACGCTTATAGCAAAGGGAACTGTTGACTCTGATTTGATGAAACTGTCTCCAGAGGTTACAGAACCCCAGCGCCCCAATGACTCTCACGAACTATTTGGAAATTAAAATTGTCCTGTCCTTAGCCAGCAATCTGACCTGCCCGCCTCTCTCTGCAGAAACTAATTTTCTGAAGACATGGAAGGAAGTTGTCACTGAACGTAACTTCAAATGGCTCCAGCATTGAGGGCTGAGCCACGGGGGACTTGGTCTGTGTCTAGTTAATTTTCATGCAGTTGGTCCACACAGGTGACCTATGAGGCCTTTGAGCTCCCTCTGCAAGACCTTTGTGCCCCCAGGGCTGGCCCCAACAGAATGGGGTAAACTGAGTGTGGGGCACATGGAGCCAATTCTCCCTGTGTGCTGGGCACAGACACTCACCTTCACATCACCTTCATCAGAAAGCCAAAGCTCAATGGGTGGAAGATTGGAGAAATTACACAGGCTTGGATGAACCTAGACCTGCCTCCACTTCAGCACAGTTTATTAGATCATTTCCAAAACAAACCTTGGTGACAGTTCCTCAGATTCAGAGCACGAATGTCTACTTTTCCACCCCAAACCCTGCAACCACTCCTCATCCAGAGACAATCACTGCTGGCAATTTGGCAATTATTCTTCCAGATCTTTGTCTAGATATTTATAAATAAGTCTGCACATTTACAAATACAACTATTAATTAACTGAACAAATCACACACTGCAATTTCTTTTTACCTGTTCACATTTTTAAAAGACCTCTTTCATATGTATTTATAGATTTTTTTAAAATGCCACATTGTATTAATGGGCAAAGATGTACCATAATTCATTTCCCCATTTCTTATTGATGAACATTTAGAGTGTTGGCAAGTTTTGGCTATTAAAATGGCTAAATGTGTGACAATAACCATTCTTCTACTTGTTTCTTTGCACACATGTACCAGTATCTTTACAGGACAAATGCATAGAAGTGCTTTTGCTCATTTGCAATATTGCTAGACATAGTTGATTGTCCTCCAAAGAAGGTACTAATTTGCACACCCAGCCAAGAGTGTGTGAGAGCAACTCTTTCCACATGCCCCATGTCTTACTGACATTGAAGTCTCAATGACTTTAAATTTTGTGAGATACTTATGAGGCAGGAGATAGTCAGGAAGCAGGAAACTCCAGAGGTGCCCCGGGGCTAAGATAAAGAACATGGATAAAGGGCAGAGACCCTGTTCTAAGACTGGTAGTTTCTGCATCTGGAAAAGCATTAAATCCTAGTTAATCAGGAATGCACCTGTGCAGAAGATGCAGAAGATACCTGACCCCTGCTTCATTATAATAGCCTTATAGTAAATTAGCATTGTGGGGGGACCTACCCTAAAGGAATAAAAGTCCTCTAGCCCCTGAGTTCGGGGCTGCTGCTGCTGCGGCTGCTGCTGCTAGGCTGCTAGGCTCTCCTCGGCTTTGCTCTGCTCTGCTCTGCTCTGCTCAGAGTTGGCCTGCTCCCATGTTCTGTGTGGCTTAATAAATCTGCTTTTTCTCGCTTTCTGCTATAAACTCTGTGTGTTTGGTTCCATTTTTTTGTCCACGATCACCAAGAACCTGGTTACCTGTGCCCACCTGTGACACTTAGAGTCTTTTCATATTAGTCATGTGCATTTTTTTTTTTATTTGAAAATTGCCTAATTAAACCCATTGCCTGTTTTTCTTCCTGATGGGTACAGACTCTTCATGTATTCTGGACATTAATCCTTTGACTACAGCACAAATTATATTTTCCAGCCTTTCACTTTTTAAAACTGATCTATAGAATCTTTTGTTGTACTGTGGTTAGATGCAATTTTAATGTGTTCAAATATGTTAACTTTCCCTTTTCAGCTTTAAGAGCACTATTATAGATTATCTGTACATCTATGTACATGCAAGTGTGTGTGTACCTATATGACTGCGGGGGGCGGGGGGATTGTTTCCAGAGTTTGGGGAGGGAGGCAGGTGCTTGGATCCTTCCTCCTCCTCTCTCGTTCTTCTCTGGCCTGACTGGGCCACTGCTTCCCTTAGGCCATCAGCCCTGCCTCAGCCCCTATCCATCCTAGGCCACCTGCCTTTGGCTTCTCCATCACAGACCTGTCTTCATCTTTTCTGTTTTACTGCTTTTGGACAACCTGTTTTAATCTTGTTGTTTGAATCTTCTAAGGCCTGAATTCTTTTTTGTATCCCTCTATTTTTCTTCCCACCCACAATTGCTTTATGGCACTTAGTTAACATACCTGAGTCTCTCACATCTCAGTAAATGGTGCATTTGCTTGCTGTGCTCAGGTCAGAAACACCAGGAGTTACCTTGATTTGTTTCTCTGCTCCCTGCCCCCATTCAGCCTGTCAGCCTGCTGACTCTCCTCTGGGAACACTCCCCCGGTCTGGCCACATCCCTGCCCTGCGCTGCTCTGCAGAGCCCATGTCACTGTCACCCCTCTGCCTCCTTGGGCAGCCTCCTGCCTGCTCTGCTGCTCCACTCCTGCCCCCTGCACTGTGTCCCTCCACAGCAGCAGCTGAATTGCTTAAAGTATAAGTTAGAGCAAGTCATTCCCAATTTCAAACCCCTCCCACCACCTCCCAGGACACTCAAGGTGAAATGTCAACTTCTTGCCATACCACAAGGCCCTGTAGACCATCACTGTCCAATAGAAATATAATAGGAGCCCCTATTTAAAAATATATTTTATTGATTATGCTATTACAGTTGTCCCATTTTTTTCCTCCCCTTGATTCCCCTCCACCCTACACCACTCCAGCCCCGCAGCATTGCCCCCCTTAGTTCATGTCAATGGGTTGTGCATTTAAGTTCTTTGGTTCCTCCATTTCCTATACTATTCTGAACCTCCCCCTGCCTATTTTGTGCCTACTATTTATACTGCTTAGTCCCTGTACCTTTTCCCCCATTCTTCCCCTTCTCCTTCCCCTCTGTCTTACTATTCATAGTTTTTGATCTCCTTTTTCTTAGACAAGTCCTTTTAACATTTCATATAATAAAGGCTTGGTGATGATGAACTCCTTTAATTTGACCTTATCCGGGAAGCACTTTATCTGTCCTTTCATTCTAAATGATAGCTTTGCTTGGATAGAGGAATCTTGAATACAGGTCCTTGCTTTTAAAAACTTCTTTCCAGCCCCTTCTTGCCTGCAAGGTTTCTTTTGAGAAATCAGCTGATAGTCTTATGGGAACTCCTTTGTAGGTAACTCTCTCTTTTTTTCTTGCTGCTTTTAAGAGTCTCTCCTCCCCTTAATCTTGGGTAACTTAATTATGATGTGATTGGTGTGTGCTTGCTTAGGTCCAACTTCTTTGGGATTCTCTGAGCTTCCTGGATCTCCTGGACATCTATTTCCTTGGCCAGATTGGGGACATTCTCTTTATTATTTTTTCAAAGAAGTTTTCAATATCTTGCTGTTTCTCTTCTTCTTCTGGCACCCCTATAATTCAGATGTTGGATAGTTTAAAGTTGTCCTAGAGGTTCCTAAGCCTCTCCTCATTTTTCCAAATTCTTGTTTCTTCATTCTGTTCTGGTTGAATGTTTATCTCTTCCTTCTGCTCCAAATCATTAATTTGAGTCCCGGTTTCCTTCCCTTTAATGTTGGTTCCCTGTATATTTTCCTTCAGTTCACTTTGTATAGCTTTCATTCTTTCCTCCATTTTGCAACCATACTCAACCAATTCAGTGAGCATCCTGATTACCAGTGTTTTGAATTGTACATCTGATAGGTTGGCTATCTGTTCATTGCTTAGTTCTATTTTTGGAGCTTTGATCTGTTCTTTCATTTGGGCCATATTTCTTTGTCTCAGCATGCCTGTCACATTGGAAGGGGTGGAGTCTTAGGTATTCGCCAGGTTGGGGCAATCCAGGTTGCTGAGTTATGACGCTCTCTGTAGGGGAGGGGTCTGAGAGGGAAGAATGCTACTTGCTTGGCTCTGAGCCAGCTTGCAGTCATTTTTCCCGCTACCCACAAGCAAATTGGGCCCTTCTAGTGCTGATTCCCAGGTGGATGGGGTTTTTTGTACATTCTAGGACCCTGTGGGTCTTCCCAATGAACTCTCCTGTGAGGCTGGGAGTTTATCCAGCTGCCACAACCCCCACATGTTTTTACATCCAGAGGTTTTGAGGCTTTCTTTTCCCACACTGAAACCCTGGATTGCGAGGTCTGTCTCAATCCCTAGCTGTTCCTCCAGTTTACCCTTATGCAAATATGGGACCACCCATTCTGCCAGCTGCCACCTCAACAGCCTGGTCCTCTAGCTGCTGCCTTGCCACAGGGCCTCTCTGCCTCAGATGCCCATCTCCGCCCTCCTTACCGGTCTGGATGAATGTTTCTTTTTCAACTCCTTGATTGTTGGACTTCCATACAGTTCAACTTTCTGGCAGTTCTGGTTATTTTTTGTTTTTAAATTTGTTGTTGTCCTTCTTTTGGTTGTGTGAGGAAGCAAAGTATATCTACCTATGCTGCCACCTTGTCCCAAAATATAATAGGAGCCCTTTATGCAATTTTAAATTTTCTGGTAACATATTTCAAAAGTAAGAAGTACAGTGAAATTAATTGTAATAATGTATTTTATTTGACCCAACACATTCCATACCACTTCGACATGGCACAGGTTACCTTTCAATGCTCAATAACTGCTCATGGGCTGGTGGCCAGTATAGTGGACATCACCACCCCAAATGACCTGGTCCTGGCTGCTTCACAGACACACTGTGATGGTCTGTTTTGTAGATCAACCTGACTGGGTAAATGAGGTGCCCAGACATTTGGTCAAATGTTATTCTGAGTATACTTGT